CAAGGGTGTGAAACCTAGGGTCACAAACTCATATCAATACAACTAATTATTTTAGCTCTATCACTGATATTGGGTGCTTTCCAATAAGTGCTGTGCATATATAATATATAAATAATATATATATTTATATATTCAAGCATGTTTGGTTAGATAATTTAGATGTATTATATCTATTTTAGCTTTAATCCTTTCAAGTCCACGAATTAATTTCTGTCGAAAATTGATTAAGAAAAATTCCAAAATTTTCCTTCAAATAATTTTTATTTTCCCAAGTATTTTCAATTTCATCTGAGCCCATCTTCAGGTGTTAAAATATCTATGGATGCGTATACAGTAGCCCTGTAAATTCAAAATATTTTTTCATTGTTGATTTACAGCATTCCAAATTCGAATATGCAAGGGGGGTAACTTTGTTATTTTTATTTTTATATTTAAAAATGAAAAACATTTATTTTTTTAGTTATAATATTTTAATTTAGTGTTTTATATAAAACTTTTCTACTGCAAACATTTAAGAACTTTGTTGCTATACATGAGTATAGCAACAAAGTTCTTAAATGTTTGCAGTTGACTTTATTTATTTTTGGCTGCAATTCTCTTATATAAAAAGCTTCTGGAATTTTAAGTTTTTGCTTATTATTTTGATGAAGTACTAATGTATTTTCAACTAATACCTGTCTAAACTGCAAATGTGGACATGAGTGTTCTTTTAAATGTTCTAAGATGAAATGTTTATCTTAGGCAGAGCACATAGATACTCTGATTCTAGACAGAAGTCTCAATCCATATGTAAATAATACAATCATTTTTTTTTAATGGATACTATGTTAATAATATTATAAATGCAAATAAAGAAAGCACAATAAATCAATATGCCCTCCTTAATTAGTTGTTAAATTCAGATAATCATTTGCCAAAAGTAGAGAATCCTGCTATTCTTCGACAGTATTCCACAAACTTTTTTTAGAGAACTTTCTGTTTTGATTGAATGATGTGCTGAATGAGTCCATATCTGACTAGAACATGATTTGAAAACCAAGTTAGCTAAGGTTTTGGTGAGTCTAACAATTAGCAAAGCATCTTCTCCTGTTGGAAGTTTACATTTCTGCTATGATAGAATCTCTGAGCAGTGGGAAACAATCTAAAATGCAGTATAGCCTGATATTTTGTAGCATTTAATTTTTCTAGCCATGAGAGCCATTTGGCTAAAAAAGTGCACTATACCAAATTACCTTCCTCATAATGTTTGTCAGTTGAAGGTCGACATATTTTTCACTGGATTTTCTAAAACACCTTTCAGGATCATTTGCTAATCAGTTCAGATCTGCTTTTATCACAAAAAGTCATTTAGGAAAAAACTTTTGACAAAGTGATGCTTGTCCTTGTCATTTTGGTGACTTGAGTGCATTTTTTTTTGTATACTTTCTGGATTTGAAATATTGTTCAGTCTCCTAGACAGTGTTTACTCATATACACAACTGTTTTTGACAGTTTTAAATTCTTTGTTGGGTGAGAATTTGTTTCTTGTCACTTGTTTTCAGATGCATCTATCATCTCTTTGTGTGTCTTTGACCAATTCTTTTCACAAGAGAATGGCTTAATATATAATTTTTAAAAAGCATCTCCAACCTCTCTCCCACAGGCAGGACATGTCAAGTATCTTGCTGCTCTATTGTTACTACCATGGAAAGTGCTCAGCTGAACTACATCTCCTGGTTCCACCAGGTCAGACCTTCATAGCTAGGACCTGCCATGCCACTTACATAGTAACACATCACCTACATTCCATCCGTATTGTGGAACAAACTCCCTAGAGGATGTTTCTCTGATCACTACAATCTTAGCCTGAGTCAACTGTTATCTTCTATCCATATAAACTACCCCTTATTGTAACACTCTACCTTAAGTGGCCCCTGAAACTTGTACAGGGTGAATGTTACTGTTGTGAAGTTGAAGTTAGTACTAATCAGCCACTAAGCTCGTACTTCTACCTCGTTATTCCCAGTGACCACTTATATGAGTGTTCACTTATGCTTACGCAAATTATGCATACTAATTTGCTAGTATCACTACATCTCCCTGAACCTTAAGGGTTTTATTCCTCTCATAGATCTTGTACTCCTTCTCCTGCTATTTTCATCACTTTGCTCTATTTCTCTCTCTCCTGTATTTCTTTCCCTGGGAGACCTCAATCTGTCCCGGGCTAGGCTGTAGTCATATGTGTTTTCTTGCATAATCTGGTCTTCATCCGAACTTTCAGACTCCTTCTGGCCCTCTTCATCCTGCATTGTTTCCTCTTCTGATGTTTCCTTCTGTAATGGTTGTTCTACCAACTCGTTATCAGATGGAATTGAAGACATTTCTTCGTCGTTTCGTTCTTCCTCTTCACCCTGAGTCCTTATTTGGTTTGCATGGGCCACTATCGCCATTTTCTCTATTTATTATGGCTGTATTGTGACCTTTTTGCTTTATAAATTTGGCTTCTTCTGGATCTGCATCTTTGCTCTTTTTGTACCACATTTTTTCATTTGTAGAATATGACATCATTAGCAGAGCTCTAATCTGTCTTCCCATTAAAGCTGATGGGCTTTCTAGTCTTCCCGGATGTGGTATCGTACGATAACTTAAAAGCAGCCTCGGTAAAAAAACTTCTACTTTTTCTTTTTGCTGAGAGCATGTTTTTAGCCCCTTTTTTTACAGTCTGTACCATTCTTTCTGCTAATCCATTTGATTGAGGGTGATATGGAGGTGTCTTATATGGTTTACACCCTATTTTTCTAACCATACGTTAAGTTCTTCCTCACAAAATTCTGGTGCATAATCAGATACCAAGGTTTTTGGTACACCATTTCTAGAAAATATGACTCTTAGAATCTGCTTTATAGTAGAACTTTTCTTGTTTGTAACCCAAATTATTTCAGGCCAACCTGAAAAGGAGTTTACTAATATTAATAAGAGTCCCACTCCGTTAATGTATGTATGATCCATATGCACACAACTCCATGGCTCCACTTCTTTGGGCCACGAATGTAATTTGGTTTGTGTAAAGTTTCTTAATTCTTTACATTTTTTACACCTTTTTACATATTCCTCAACATCTCTTGAATATCCCGGCCACCATGCTTCTAATTTTATCCTTTTTTTGTGTGGCCACTACTCCACAGTGTATATCATCATGTACACTTTCAATTATCGGTTTTCTTTGTGTTTCTGGGGGAACTACCAGGTCCCCATTGCAAATCACTCCATGTTCTATTGTTAATTTGTGTCTTATTTCTTTATAGGGTCTTTCCGCCCTAGAACAATTTCCCCACGAGTTTTTTCTTATTCTCGATACTATCCTACTTAGCACTGGATCATGTCTCGTTTCCGCAGCCATTCTATCTAAAGACAAAACATCAGTCTCTATCAAGTGTAGGAATGAATCTTCAAATTCTTCCTCTGTTTTATCTTTTGACTCCTTGTAGAACCTCAATCTTGATAGTGCGTCCACATGTGGAATTGAATTTCCTTTGACATCAAAGTCAAATGCCATCAATCTTATCACCCATCGTAGAATCCTTGATGTCGTGACTTTGGGTAATTCTTTCCTTGGATTAAATATAAACTCTAATGGTCTATGATCACTTCTTAATAGAAATTTTTTTCCCAATTAAAAATTGTCGGGCTCTGGTAGTTGTCCACACGATAGCCAATGCTTCTTTCTCTATGTTCGAGTAATTAAATTCAGTGTTCGTTAATCTTCTCGATAAATACATTATCGGATGTCCTTCTTGTGATAATATTCCCGATATTGAATGTTCACTTGCATCTGTAGTGAGTGTTATGTCCTTTTTTGGATCAAACATTTTCACTACAGGTTTCTTTGACATAATTTCTTTTAATCTTTCAAAAGCTTTTTTCTGTTTGTCTGACCACATAAATTCCACATTCTTTTTTCTTAAATTTGCAAACGGTTCTGTCAAGTCCGTGTATTTTGGTAAGTATCGCCTGTAAAAATTTACCAATCTCAAAAAAGACTCCAATTCTTTTTTATTTGTAGGTGTAGCTACTTTTAGTATTTTTTCTATCAAGGCTTGATCTGGTTATATACTTTCTTTTGAAATGGAATAACCTAAAAAAGATATTTTGTTAGAATTGCTTACGCATTTTTTTTCGTTTATCGTCATTCCAGCATTTCTTAATCTATTCAAGACTAAGTTAGTTTTCTCTTTTAATTCATTTTCCTTGTTGTCTTTCAACTTTTTTGTTCTTGCAGTGGCAGAGAAACAACGAATCTATGTATCCACGAAATCTGGATCTTCCAGAGAAAATTGATATCCTATCGGCGACGCCATTGTTGTGAAGTTGAAGTTAGCACTAATCAGCCGCTAAGCTCGTACTTCTACCTCGTTATTCCCAGTGACCACTTATATGAGTGTTCACTTATGCTTATGCAAATTATGCATACTAATTTGCTAGTATCACTACAGTTACTGTAAAAAAGAAAGAGTGTAGAGATTGGTGCTTCATTCAGTATTCCTTCTGTTGCTATTTTGTAGTCGTTGTTTGCATCAGAAGCAGATTCTAGTAACAAAACCTGAGTTTGTGTGGTAAGACAACCCAATTACCTCTCCTGTCTTATGATTTGTATAAATAAGTCACACTGTCTTAGCCAAAATGGCAAGACTCTTCAGTTACATTCAATAAAAGCTTATTAAGTTGAACAAGACTCTGAGTTTTCATTACAGTTTGTATTGCTATAATTGTCTTTCTAATGGAAAAAATGAAGTTTCTTTTCTCTTGCAGCTGTTTAGAGTTTGTACATGTTTATAACTTGATTTATGGAGTTTAACAGAAATTAAAATATGAATGTCACACTTATTTCTGTGGACAAATATTATATTTACATAGACTACCTTTCCTAAGGTTATTTGTGTGTAAGTGAATATAACGAACCTAACTGGAATTGGTATTCAGCTCTCCGATTAACAATTCTGAGACATTATCAAACATCAAAGCTTACAGCACTTGGTATTCTTAAGCTGTCACCCATCTAGGTACTGAGCAGGCTTAACATTGCTTAACTTCAGTGATTGTATGAGAACAGGTGTTTCAACATGATATTGCCTTAAACCCTTTAGATTGCAATAAATATTTTTTTATATATCAATAAAACATGAAGTGGCTAATAATATAGGACATAGGGGTTTACTCTATGAATCAATAAGTTTACACTAACATAGATTTATTTTGCTAAACTTAGTTTGGATGTAGAGGTAGTGTAATGGTTAATTGTTCAGAACAGTCTGGGCTCTCTAGCTGTGTTTGGCAATAATGGCATCCCAAATTTCCAGGAACTGGTTCTATAAAGGCAGGTAATACAGTGGAGTAATGGATAGCTTCTCGGATTAAGGAGTCTGAGAGCTGAGTTTGAATTTCATTTGAATCCATGACATTCACTTACGTGCTAATACCCTTGGGAAAGGTATGAATCCTCTTCTTCTCCTCCCAGCTATGGGTAAATAGCAGGACAGACCGGGTTCTATAGCCTTGGATGGCAGCTGGTCTACTGCAGAAAGAAATGGCAACCTACTGCGGGAAAAATCTCATTCAATCATGTATCAAAAGATACATGATCACCTAGATGTGTATCATGCATGGCATGTAACTGACTGAATCTTATTCAGAACCTATTGTGCTTATTTTCTTTTCAATATCTAACTAAAACATGTCATAAACCTGATGCATTCTACAGTACAACCAAAAAGCATAGGTGATAACTTAGTAAACATGGCGATGTTTTGATGTACACAATATAGAAATTTGGTGTGAATTCTTAATAAGGCATTTTTGTGTTTAAATTAAAAAAAAGGGAGAATTTTCAATAAAAATAAAAAAGTGTAAGTCATAAAAGAAAGAAAGAAAGATAGAAAGAAAGAGGTGGCTGCTGACTAGTCAGCAAAGTTCAAAGGTTCATTAAATGGAATGTGATGTGTTAAACACTTTTCGGTGAATTTGTTGCTGTCTGACTTTGCATTTGTTTGGCTAAACCTTTTCTGTCAACTCTCTCTTTTGCCTATTATTTCTACACAGCTACCATTATCTATCTATGTTTTTCTTTTACTTTTTCTTTTCTACCTTGCTGACTGCTGTCTATTGCTGTTGTAGGGTGTGTGTGTGTCTATTAGAGTTTCACTAGGTGTGTACATGAGCATAACATAACTAACATTTTACCTAGGGCATTGGCTATTAATATATAAGATTATTTTCGGATAATCCAACAACTGGTTCATTAGGCTTTAATAATTTTAAGAATTGGTTCACGTAAACCAGTGTGAACTGGCAGGATGCTACCACTGGTGGTTGGCAACTCTAGACAACTCTGAATTCATAGCCCAGCCCTACCTGAAGCTGTACAAAGATGGTTAGATACTGGGGTGCATATACTATGGTTGTAAAACAAAAACATGATAGATTTCAGTAACTGTGGATAATCCCACTCCAGTGGGATTATCCAGTATGAGATTAGGCTGATGGAAAGACAAATGGGCATGGTTTGGTATTCACTGAATATACTCTGTTCTAAAGGACTATTTTGATAACTATAAAGTAATATTGTTCATCAGTACTCATCAGTATAGCACTTACCGTAGTTATATTATAAAAATTACTTAAGATTGAAAAGTTGCTTTTAGAGTTAACTTTAGAACAAAGCATTTAAAATTCTGGATATTGCATAGCTGCCATTATAATATTCATTTAATTGGCATAAAAACAATGATTGATTGAAAAATAAAAATAGGTGGTTTTCAGTACACAATCTGTTTATTTCCTCTCATCCAATTTGCACTTCTTCCTTGGTCTTTTGAACAGAAGTAAAAGTTATCCTTTCTTTCCTGTTTAGGATTGGGTCTCCAGTTCCTTTTCATTCAGAAGCCATGTGCATCTTAGTGGCATTATTGTCTTGCTTGGGTGAATTGAAAAACAAAAAAAAATTAAAAAGAAATAAAATAAAACTTCCTGGCAATGACTACAACTTAACAGGCTTTTCAAATGAACTAAAATATTGTCAATTGCAGTGAACCTGTCTATTATAAAACTAAACAGCAAACCTCTCTATTATAGGACTAAACAGTGAACCTCTCCATTATAAGACTAAACAGCAAACCTCTCCATTATAAGACTAAACAGCGAACCTCTCTATTATAAGACTAAACAGTGAAACTCTTTATTATAGACTAAACAGCTAACCTATTACAAAACAAAAACAGCAAAAATTTCTATTATAAAACTAAACAGTGAACCTATAGGATCCAGTTTCTATATTGTTCTTAAAACTGAACAAACATAGGCTCCAAATCAAGTATTATAACTAATGTAATTTGATTGGTCCAGAAATACCAATGGCATGTTGTCACCTACGTCTGCACATCTGACCTTGATCTGACCTGTTCAAGGTACGTGTCAAAAAAATTTAAACATGTTTGAATGAAATATATCACATGGCTTACATTGCTTATAAAAAAAATAACAGCAATTAAGGAAAAGGCAACTGGAGAAAATTTTGGTGAAAAAGCAGACATGCTATGTAACTACACTCATTACTGATGTCCAGACTATATGTTAAAATATTTTTTTAACACAACCACAATCTATATTTCTTCATTCAATGCAAACAATGAAGACAGACACTCAAAATGTCCTGAAGTGATTCACACCTACATCCATTTTTTTTCACAAAATTTTAAACTGTTTATTTTATATACAAATAACACTACATTTAACCAAAATTCTCCAAACTCACACATTTTACACTATAACTTGCAATTCATCAACAAGAACATTTTCTCACTCACAAATCCAAAAGGACAAGTAAATTTCAGCATTTTAAACACATTCAGAATTCCTGTTTTGTAAATTCTATTTACTTGTATAACTTCTCTTGTTGAATTTCTTTGTTTCATATTTTGTGGCAATTGTGTTTGACCCCCACAAACCTATAAGAGTAAACAGTGAAGCTATCTATTATAAGTCTAAACAGTGAACCTCTCTATTATAAAACTAAACAGCGAACCTCTCTATTATAAGAATAAACAGTGAACCTCTCTATTATAAGACTAAACAGTGAATCTCTTTATAGACTAAACAACGAACCTCTCTATTATAAGACTAAACAGTGAACCTCTCTATTATAAGACTAAACAGTGAATCTCTTTATAGACTAAACAACGAACCTCTCTATTATAAGACTAAACAGTGAACCTCTCTATTATAAGACTAAACAGTGAATCTCTTTATAGACTAAACAACGAACCTCTCTATTATAAGACTAAACAGTGAACCTCTCTATTATAAGACTAAACAGTGAACCTCTCTATTATAAGACTAAACAGTGAATCTCTTTATAGACTAAACAACGAACCTCTCTATTATAAGACTAAACAGTGAACCTCTCTATTATAAGACTAAACAGTGAATCTCTTTATAGACTAAACAACGAACCTCTCTATTATAAGACTAAACAGTTTAACCTCTCTATTATAAGACTAAACAGTGAATCTCTTTATAGACTAAACAACGAACCTCTCTATTATAAGACTAAACAGTGAACCTCTCTATTATAAGACTAAACAGTGAATCTCTTTATAGACTAAACAACGAACCTCTCTATTATAAGACTAAACAGTGATCCTCTCTATTATAAGACTAAACAGTGAATCTCTTTATAGACTAAACAACGAACCTCTCTATTATAAGACTAAACAGTGAACCTCTCTATTATAAGACTAAACAGTGAACCTCTCTATTATAAGACTAAATAGTGAACCTCTCTATTATAAGACTAAACAGTGAATCTCTTTATAGACTAAACAACGAACCTCTCTATTATAAGACTAAACAGTGAACCTCTCTATTATAAGACTAAACAGTGAACCTCTCTATTATAAGACTAAACAGTGAACCTCTCTATTATAAGACTAAACAGTGAATCTCTTTATAGACTAAACAACGAACCTCTCTATTATTAAACAGTGAACCTCTCTATTATAAGACTAAACAGTGAATCTCTTTATAGACTAAACAACGAACCTGTCTATTATAAGACTAAACAGTGAACCTCTCTATTATAAGACTAAACAGTGAATCTCTTTATAGACTAAACAACGAACCTCTCTATTATAAGACTAAACAGTGAACCTCTCTATTATAAGACTAAACAGTGAATCTCTTTATAGACTAAACAATGAACCTCTCTATTATAAGACTAAACAACGAACCTCTCTATTATAAGACTAAACAGCGAACCTCTCTATTATAAGACTAAACAGCGAACCTCTCTATTATAAGACTAAACAGCAAACATCTCTATTATAAAACATTTCACCAGCTTTGCCCATTCTGCTCCTTGAACATTTGAAATTGTTTTTCTTTTTTTTTTGACTTTATAACACAAGTTGAAGGGGCACTGAAAAGTTTTCAGCTTGGCCAAGAAGTCCTTCAAGGAGCAAAAAAAAAACTTAATTTGGTTAAATTTTATTATCAGGTTGAGTTATAAATAATTTCCATATTTTTCTTTATCAACTTTATTCTTCATAAAATAAATTACGGTTGCATTTTATTCAATTTTATATTTACCATTCTTTTTATCGACTTGTTGCCACTCTTCAAAGGCAGCTCTTTGAAACATTTTGGGCAAAATTCTGCAGGTTTTGATGTGAAAAAGCATTCAACAAACTTTTAGATCTGGTTTTCCTTAGAGAAAGTTTTCCCTATCAAAACATTTTGCAGTGATCAAAAAAATAATAATTGGTAAAATCAGGTGAATATGGCAAGTGAGATAGAATAGACCAACTGAGTTTCAAAATTTTTTTTGTGTATGTAGCCTTGCTTTTTAACTACATTTTTATTGATATATTGTAGCTGTTTGATGTATAAATCATAGTGTTTCATTGCATTTTAAAAACTAAATGAATAATACCCTGATGATCTTACTATATGCACGACATTACCTTCGCTCAGCATTTGGGACCAGTTGTGGAAATGTATTCTTGTTAATTCACTGCCTCAGCAATGTCATATATAGCTCATTTTTCATCATTTGTTATATGAAAAGTTATTTAGAAAGAT